TGTGATCTGTGCTACTGTAGTTGACCTTTTCTATGGAAAGCTAGAAGGTATATGACAGAAACAAGAGAGATGCAGAACAGTAACTTCTTGTCTCCTGGCAGGAGACAATATGCTGATTCAGAATAAACGTAATTGCATATGTGTCGTATAAACTCTGTCTCATACTATGGTTGAATATCTAAGAAATATAATTTACAGTATTTTGTTTAAAAAAATGTTACAAACATACATACTGATAGTTGCAAAGATACTTTTCCTTAAATTATGCTTAATTTACCCAGTAATGTAAGCTAAAAACTATTTTAAAGAATTGTTTAAAATTTGATAGTCTTCTATTTAGCATAAATATAATTTATGTAGATTACGGTAGTATTATGTTGCCAGGCTTAACATATCTTGAGGCTGCTCTGTAAAATCTCATTTGCTGTAGCAAGAGGCCATAGTCATATTATTTTTATTAAATCTGACAGCGTGTAACGAGTGTTCTTTTATGATGTTTATGAAGGCAGAGTCTGACTTAAATTAAGTTAACTAACTTTTAAACTGTCTGATTTTTTCCAAAAACATTTCGAGTTTGTACTTTTGATTTTGTGGTTACAGTTTTGAGAAACTATATAGGTTTCAATAAAATGTGTCTAAGCAATTGAGGAAAAAAAAAAACTGTGAATACATTTTGCACTAGCAGAACGCAGGACAGGAAAATGAGATCTTCTGCAAGTTTCCCTTCATAGTTCTTACAAAGTGGTGCAAGGATCTTTAAACGCTAACAATAATAGTCTTCCGGTCTCAGAAGTGTTACTTCCTATGTATCTTTTTTGAAGTTAAAGTAAGTGTATGAGATCACAGGGGTGTGTTTCAGACATGCAAGAAACAGTTAGATAAGAAACTGAGTAAAAATAAGCTCTGAAGTCAAATGCAATATTCATAACAAAAGTTCAGTTCTAGTGCACCAGGGTGAGGATGTCATGTCGTTCCAAACCATTAGGACTTTCTTCTGTTGAAAAAAAAAAACTGTTCAGACAATTAACATCAATGGAGTCCAATGTTGTTGTGGACCCCATTGACTTTCATTGTACGGACAAAATCACATAAAACATTCTTCAAAATACATTTGTTTTGAAAGAAAGTCATACAGGTTTGAAACGACATAAGGGTGAGTAAATTATGACACAATTTGTATTTTTGTCTTGACAACTCTTAGAGTGTTTGGCATGGTAATGGATATGACAATATTGATATGTTTGATCTGCTACGCTTCTGCTGCTGTTGGTTATTGCTGCAGATCAAGTACGGGACTTGCTACTGCTAATACACACATGGCACGCTGTTGTTAACAATAGCATACATGAATTACCAGTAGCAGATCTATACAGGTGGAGCTGGGGAAGGTGGGGGGTTTCTGAAAGCACACTGCAACTGCTACAGCAAATGCTGACCAAGTACTTGAAGGTTGAGCAGCTCATTGGCTACTGATACAGCAGGAACCAATCAGCTGTGCCCTATAGAGAATGATGTGATTGCAAACAGATTGAGTTAAGGACCTATCAGCCCACTGTGCCATCTAGAGTTTCATGACTTTATATTTTTTGGTGAACTACCCCTAATTGTAGATATCTACTGTATAAACCTTATGTCATTCTATAAGCGCATTTGTTTTTGCACAACTAGAAACGAAAGACATGATTTTCCTTTCAAAGTCACTTGAAGATCAAATTTGGAGATGGTTTTGAAGCTCTAGAAGCTAAGTATGTGCAGATGGCATTAGAAACTTCAGTCACTGGCATATCTGATGATGGATCAGAGGAATGGAGCAGCAGAGAGAGATGTGCCAGCCTCCGGTTCACTCGCCCAAACAACCAGTACTTTTCCAGCTCTTGACAGACTACTGGCACAAAGCAGATGACAGGAGCACTTTTCCCAGCAAGCAAAAATGTTTAAAATACCCTGGAACAAACTCGGAATACTTCCTGTGATCATGTCATAATAGCAGGAAAACGAGTCTTATCACAACAATTAATAAGAAACGTTCCAGATCGCATAGTCATGTATCATGTTCAATGTGAATGTTTTCACAGTAGCTGTTTGAATAGTTGTTTAAGTTGGAGGCTCACCAAAGCAATAATTATATCTATTATTATCATTTAAACTGAACTGCCCATTCTGTGCCAGTTCTCAGAAAAACTAAGTGGTTTGCCAAACTTTATTGATGCCACTGGGATATTTTCCATGGACATCCGGCTCATGAACTCTTCTTTGGGTACCATCAATTCCAAATTTGCCAGTTCTGGAGATTATTTCTCTCAGGAGCAGTACAGTACATGAACCATGTCTACTGTCAACAGCCATCTTCTGCTATAATTATGAGTCCGAGTGTTTCCTTTGAGAGGACTGGGGCTTGTCTGCATGTAATGGAATGCCATTTCGAAGTTTCCAAGTATGGAAGAAGACAGTTCAAAGCAAGGTCTTCTGGGAGATTTGAAGCCCTTGCCAGTAAGTGCTCTAGATTTATAACTGTGGAGATCTTCTTAATGCCAGCGAGAGGAGTGGTAGATGGCTAACTTCAGCCCGCCTCACTCTACACTTGACCATTCATCTCCTAATGACTCTATTTTTGGTGCACATTATTAAATTAGACGAAAAGGGTTGAAATGAATCTACAGTTAGTCATATTAGATGCGCTGGCTAAAAAAACAAATCACTCGACGAAGTGAAGCAAGGTTTATGAGTCTGTGTTGAAGATGTGTTAAGGGATAGTTGATCCAAAAATTATACAATTCTGCCATCATTTACTCACCCTCATTTCTTTATTCTGTGAAACATAAAATAATATATTTTGATAAATGTTCTTGTCCTTACAGTAAAGGGCAAAGGGGTGCAAAACAAAGTTTCAAATTTTTCAAAATATCTTATTTTGTGTTACACGGAAGAATGAAATTAGACAGTGCAGGCATTTTGTACATAAAGCACACGCAGAAGGAATGCATTCCTATCAAAGCCTGGAGATAAACCGGACACACTGCTAATCCATGGAAAAAAATCTCAACATTCACAAAATGAACTTTAATGTATGCATTAGTCTACAATATAGTAAATATTAGTAATATAAGTGAAGTATACAAACATTAGTACAATTGTAAAATATAGGTATATACACAGTAGTCTACTGTAATAAATATTAGAAAACATTTATTTTAGAATTTTAAGGGAGATTTAAGTCATTGTGGGCACCGTTTATCAACATAATAATACAGAAAAGTCATGATCTAAAATTTAAGGTTTTACGCTTTTTTGTTTATTAAATTTTACGTACTTATCCAATTTAGAAAACAAAAGCAAGATAATTATAAAAATTATAATAAAAAATTCACATCTCCTCTGACTCGGCATTTAACAGCCCTAAAGCTATTCTGAAAAAATTATTTATAAGGAAATGACCCAATCTATATACACAATACAGCTTCTTATACCATGTTCCACACCTTTTAGACATGTGTGTGATATGTATGTCTGTGATGTCCCACACATCCATATACACTGCTGACTGAAAACAGATGAATATTCTGGTCTCAAACCAAACACACTTGCACGTTCATCTCCATTAGGAATTCACACGGCTTAAATGTCGCCACTGCAATAACCACATCTGGGTCTTTGGGTCTCTGGAGGAGACTCTCTCTCATAGCCAAACATGGATTTTCCCTGTTGTCCACAAGGGTACGGATCTGTAAACTAGCAGGATCTAAGCGCAGGTGAAGGACAAGACCTACACTAACATAAAACCACCAAAAGGTCATGGTGTATTACTGAATGCTTCACAGTACCATATAAGACTATTCAATGATATTTATACAGGTAGGGACCACCAAGTGTGCTAGCCAATAGGAACTTGACTAGAGTTAAGTGTATGAATGAAGCAACGGTGTGATGAGCCTGCACCTAATGTGAGTCAATGTGAACCTCTATCTGCAGCCGCATCCACAACTTAATTCCTTAACCCACGTCACGCGCCTGCATCACATGCATTCCTACGACTCTGAACCCAAGGACACATCTGAGCTCTCTTCATTTGGTTAAACAGTAAGGGTACATTGATTGCTATTCCTCATAAAAAGTTGCCATTTAATAACATTAATTAAATTTTACATGAAAGGTGATTAAAAAGTTGTCAATATGCAGCTTCACGGACAAATTTATATTTAAAGGTCCCCTCAGTACGTTTTTATTTTTTGTTTAGATGGCTTTAATTCATTCCAATAGTTGAATGGACTTGATACTGACACCTATTGACTTGGATGTATGAAGTTTGTTTACACTCTGGCTGAAAGTGCCATATAAATTAAACATAATTATGTTGTTGTTATAATATAATAATTAATAACTTATTTAATTGCACAAGGCAGCAGGTCATGTAATCCCAACAGGGTAGCTGGTATAAACCCGCTTTACAGAATACAACTGCTTATTCTAGAAGACTGATGTAACTGGAGTCCTTGTCTAGTTCAGTTATTTTTCACAAAAATGATAGTTCTTAGTGTGATTTTTTCAATTAGCAAAACATTACAGAGTGCACCTTGATAATAATATATGAAAGCAGTATCAAAATGTCAGTAACCAAAAGAAATGTCCACTTGCTCTTAACGTGAGACTGTAATTGCATTGTGAGGGAAACATTTTATACACACTGTACAAGCATGGACGTGGTGTGAAGCGCAAAAACGCCGCGTAAATAAGCGTTTAAGTAATGTTATCTACGTCTACAAAATAAATAACAATGAATTATGTTCAGAATATCTTAACAGACCGCATTAGGGAAAAGTGCATATAGCCTTAAGCCAGATCGTCAATAATAGATGATGTATGTAGCCTATGGTCCTCAGAATATGGAATGATGCACCGAATAAATAATGCGCACAGTTTCGCTCTCGGTTTTTTTTTTTTACATAATACCACACATGTAACAGAAACCACACCAAATAGGACACAATAAAAGAAAAACTTACCCAGAAGCGCCGCAAGTGTGAAATGATAGACTCCAGAAAGCATCTTCCCGGTTCCCTGTCAGAGCCTGGATACGAGGCTCCTTCCCTTGGAAGCGCAAACACTCAACTGAGCAGCAGACCGACTCTCTGGAGGCAAAGTCTCGATTCAGTTACTCTCAGGCTGAGCTAGAGGGCATTTCCTCTGCTGCAAAGTTAATGTCCCAGTGCAAGTCTACAGATGTCACACCTTATGTCTTAACTTCTTGTTTGAGTTTACAATGCGTATTTGAGAGCATGAGGGGTGACAGACGGTGGGGGGGGGGGGGGGTTGGGGGGGGGGGGGGGGGGGGGGTTAGCTGGGCATTCGAGGGGAGGATTCTTCCTTATTCAGATTCAAGCTGAATGAAAAAAGTTTTATGCATTAGTAATATTATATAGCTAACCTATGTGCATTTTTACAAACGTATACACAATTAAAAAATATCAATAAATAATAATAAAAACAATGATTTATACTTATTATTATAGTTACAACTGTGTATATTTGACTGGTCTAAACTGGTCATTAGCTGGTTTAAAATAGTTATTATCTGGTTTAAGCTGGTCTAAACTAGTCATTAGGCAGCCTGAACTAGCCATTAGCTGGTCTAAGCTGGTCAGTAGCTGATCCAACCTGATAATTCGCTGGTCATTAGCCAGTTTATTAGCTGGTTGGTCTGTTTAGGGGCCGTTGACTCTGTTTTCAACTAAAACCAAAACAACTTATAATACTTTTTTGTCGTTCATTTACACGTCAATTATGTCTTGGGGGCCTGACAAGGCATAGTTTTGAAAGTGTCTTTCAAAGTGAATGTGTTTTAAAATTATACCGTTATTGTCTCTGTGTAAACCACAAAAATCACAAAAACTGTGATGTCATGCACATGTTTATTATGTGTTCAGTCTATAGTGTTTCTTTACAAAGAGACATCGCCAACCACTGGGGACAGCGTTTTTAGTTTTTTCCGCGGATCCATGTGAATGAGGATGTTTTTGACAACGTTGACAACGTCGTTACGCTAAAAAACACAAACGTTGTTGTGTCTGTTCCTTGTTCTCGCAATCTTGCTTAGTCATTTCTGTACTCAGAAATGCTGTTATTATGTTGCTACAATGCCATTAGTGCTAGATACCAAACACTTCCCATTAAAGCTCACTAGTCATTAGTTATTCTGACACTAGTGTGCTTCATATACATTACCTCGCTCTTCATCAAAGACTAAAGTACTAGCACCAGCGGGCACCTTGATATCAATTTGACGTCAAAAGTTAGTCAAGACTTGATCAAGATACTGCATATCATTTTAAGGTCATTTGAAAGGCAATGTCTTCCAGTGGTAATTAGGTGAAAAGAGAAAGTTAATACCCACACTGAAATTATGTATTATGCAGGTCAATATGTTTGACATTCAGTTTACATCAAGTCATGGATTGGTTTTGACATCAATTTGATTGGCATATTTGACCTGTTTTTTGACGTTGATTTTGACATCAATTTGATGTCTTTTTAACATCAATTGCTCACTGAGTGGATTCCGGAGAATTCTTCCTTCAATAATAACATTTTCAGATAGCTGTCAGTCAACAGCTGGTCTAAACTATTCATTAGGCAGTCTAAACTAGTCATTAGTTGGTTTAAGCTGGTCATTGGCTGGTTTAAATTGGTCACTAGCTGCATGGTTTAACCTGGGGTCTCGTTTATAAAACTGTGCGTAGGATCCTTACTAAAAGTGTACGTGCGCCCGAAAGCCAAAAATTTGGCTACGCGTGTGACGTTTTAAGTTGCGTTGTACGCAAATAACGTAGTGCAGCGTTCTCAGCACGTACGGACTCAGCGTAATTGCTAGTCAATCACGACCAGCCTCCAGATGAGCATCCAGCCACAAGCTCCACAGACTTATTAAGTATGAGTTCACTGAGGGAATTAATGAAGTCTATCTCCGAGAAGGAAAGAGATGAGGCTGCTGATATGGCTGCGCTTCAGAGCAAACTCAAAAACGACAGCTTCGGCGTCAGGAGCTTATGGAACATATCACATCATTCCTGAGGGAAGAAGGGGATGAGGCGGAGGCTCAAAGTGTAAAGACTGCCACACCACCGACGAGATCACCTCCAAAAAACTCACCTCATCCATTAAGTCATTCTTCCTATTCATCAGTCAACTGAAATTGAGTTACATACCAAAGGACAAGGACATGTGAGTGCCACACAAATAAATGTAAGCACACCTACTGCAGAGGCAGAGCACTTTAACCCTGGTTTCATACCAATACAGCCCATCACTTCACTCCCTTTGTACTCTCCAATTTCGTCTGGTATGTTACCTGCCACCGTGCGCCAACATCAACATGCTACAAGAGCAGAGACTGTGCCACTACTGCTTAATACACTATAACAATGCTGGGACTGCCTTTCAGTCTCGGGTGCAGCCACAGCTAGTAGCTCCTATGCCAACCTACCAGCATAACAGAGTGCCTTACATCTATACAACAGTGGCACCTTCTCCACGACAACCTGTCGCGGCTCTACCTGCATCCAGTTTTTCAGTTCCTCACTATACTACAATGCCTCCAGTAGCGTCAGGGCCTCAAACCCTGCACAGTGCTTCAGTTACTGCCATGATTCCTGCTCTTGCAGGCACTTCTCTACAGCCATTGAGCCAGCCACTGAAGCGACCAGAATACTTGGTGCCTTACCGCCCTTTGCATGCTGCCCCCCAGCCAAAGATTCCTGATTTTGTGAAAGACAATGAAAGCGAATTCGCTAATCTGAGATTAGAAGTTAGGACATGCACTGTAAATGATTAGTACTCATAATGAAGATTTACCGAAATCTTAGTCATTAGTTATACACCATTAGTTATACACCAAAGATATACACTTCTTATTTCATCAAAAACTAAAGCAGCACCAAGGAGATTCTGGAGAAATCTTCCTGCAATAATGACATTTTCAGATGGAAAGCGGTCACATACAAAATGAAAAAACTAATCAAAAATTGAATCTCAAGAATCTCTGGAGAAAAGGACAGTTTACGTTATTCCAGCTTCCTCTGGTCTCCCAGAGTAACGTTTCAGGAAAACACTGATTAGCGTTTTTATTTTTTTTGTCTGTGTCTTTCTTTAATCAATTTCCTACACCACACCCGTCTGGAAGGCCTCCTCTGAAGGAGCAGACACAGCCTGTCACAGAAGAGATCTTACACATCCTACGCATGGACATATCCCACAAACAGCTTATAGGTACAGTATTCCACACAAATCCCCCTGACTGAAGGAAATGAGGCGGGTTTGACTGACAAATATTTTGCCAAAAGGTCAGATAATAATTAGTATGGGGCATTTCAGAGCAAAACATAATTAATGATTTGTAAAGAAAATGCAATTACTAATTATTATTTATTATTATTAAAAATTCAATACAAATCATGACTTCAAGACAACTGATATAACTTGAAGATAATACCAAATAAGACTCATTAAGAGCTTGAAATTCTTGGGGGGAAAATGGCCCAAAAGAAATAATAACAATAATAATAATAATTGAATCATAATTGTGAAGTATTGGGGAATATTCTGTGAAGGTGAACCGGTGTTTATCTAAATGTATCCTGTGGAAAAATACATTTAAAATTTTGTTCATAGGCTGAGATTGAAGCATCCTTGGCGGAAACCCATGCACAAACAGATATAAATTTACATTTTACATTTAATCATCATTTAGCTGAGGCTTTTATCCAAAGTGACTTACAAATGAGGAGAACAATAGAAGCAATCAAACCAACAATAGGGCAACAATATACAAATGCTGTGACAGATACCATTAGTCCAGCACAGTACACGTAGTGTAGTTTAAAAAAACTGATATATAGAATAGTGAGTGTTAGTATTAATAGGTCAAGTGTTGATGAAAAATATGCGTCTTCAGTCAATTCTTGAAAATGGCTCAGACTCATCAGCTTGGGTTGAGTTAGGCAGGTCATTTATTCAAATTAATCTTTTTCCAGAAAAAAATTCTATATTTTCTTGAATCATGTCAGTTGAGGTCTCAGGATATTTAAGATATAAGGACATTGTCTGCATAGAGTGATATAGTCTTGGTTACTCTCGTAACCTCCACTCTCTAACGGAGGGAAAGAGATGTTGTGTCAAGACTGACACTAGGGGTTGTACTTGGGAGACCTAAACACCTCTGATACTTCAGAAAAGGCCAATTAGAATTGGCGAGTGGAATTTGCACACTACGGAGACCACTGAATTCCTCTGCTGAATTCAACTGCCGCAGGGTGCTGAAGGTAAGATATGTCCAGGATTCGCCAGTCTGGGGAACTCAAATTGACAAAAAAAAAAAGCACACGTTATTGCCTAGGGAGGCTCGCAGCTTACCTGCTCGTACCTGACAACACAAGACGAAACTAGCTCAACCCGGATATTGTGGCCCAGCAACCACTCTGCAGAATTCTGTTAGAGAGTTGGCTAAAACCCAGGAGGATGCAACACTCCTTATGGACAGACAAACACTCCCTAAAACAGACAAAGAGCTGCTCAGAGCTTCTAAAGATCTGCGTGCAGTCCAAGAAAATGCTTAAGGCATGTACTGGACACAGCAACGATAAGGCTTAGTCTGCCTCATCTCGCTAAAGGAACTTTGGGTATGTAGGAGCTCTCTGTAGGCCCAGCAAGACTACATAGAGATCCCATCACAGAATAAGGCATGACCTAGGATATTTAACAACCTGGCTCCTCTGAGGAACTTGATGATCAGGTCATGGTTCCCTTAAGACTCAACCTTCCAGTGTGTCATGATGTTCCGCTATGGCAGCCACATACACTTTCAAGGTGGAAGTGGACAGCCAGGCCTCCAACCTCTCCTGCAGGAAGGAATCCACTGACCTGACAGCGCATCTCTGTGGGTCTCTGTGCGCATCCCTCAGAAAGCACACCAGTTATCGAACAGACTCCACTTCAAAGCATAGTCCCACCTCGTGGGTCACTGCTGGTGATAGACCACTTAAGTCATCAGAGTCCCGTCCTATGGATAAGCCTCAGGTCATGCACTCACCAGCCTCGCCTAGGTGAGAGGATCCTGGGGCTCCGTCTCCGGCCTCTGATCCCCTTGCTCCCCCTCGCCCCGTCGACCTGTCGACTCCACCATGGCTCCTCCCACCCTCGGCTCCACCAGAGACCCTCACCCTTACAGCTCCACCAGGTTCCCTCGTCCCACTGGCTCCCCTGGGTTCCCTTG